GGTAGAATTAGTTTTTTTTTTCCCACAAATCAGTGACAGCTTAGGGATCAGCAGGCAATCTGCCTTTGCTCTATGCATAGTCCTTCAATGGTGGACCCAGGGGCCTGGCACAGGCACTTCCCAGACCATTTGCAATTCTCTAGAACAGTGGTCTTCAAACATTTTGATAGTGTATATCTTTCAATATATTTTTGACCATCCACTATATATATATGTGTATTTGCATAAATATAAATAAGTTTATTTAACATAGTTGTATGTTAATAACTGTATAACTTATAAATCTTACATAAAAATAGAAAATTTAAAAAGAATGACATAAAGATGAAATAATATTTGGTCCCAGTGTCAATAGGGAGGCATCAGAGTTTATTGAATGTGTATGTAGGGGGTGTGATTTGGTCAGACTTGTGCTTTAGGAAAATGACTTTGGCAGATGTGTGTGGGAGAATGGAGTTGGCAGAGATGTAAAGGAGGAAGATGAATTAAGAGGCTATTGCAATAGTCCAGGCAAAATCGATGAATGTTAGAGGTGATGTGGAAAAGTAGACATGTAAATATACTTATTAGTGGAACTGTGAATTGGTCCAGCCATTCTGGAAAGAAATTTGGAACTATGCCACCAAAGTCACTAAATTGTGCATACTCTTTGACACAGAAATATCTCCACTAGCCCTGTACCTCAAAGAGATTTTTAAAAAAGAGGGAAAGGATCAATATGTATAAAAATATTTATAGTAGGTCTTTTCATGGTAGCCCAAAACTGGAAACTAACTGGACGTCCTCCTGTTGGGGAATGGTTAAAACAACTATGTCATATGAATGTAAAAGAATACTAGTGTGCCATAAAATATGATGAAAAGCACAGCTTCAGAGAAATCTAGGAAGACTTGCATGAACTGATCCAAAATGAAGTACATACAACCAAGAGAGTAATTTATACTATAATGACAACATTGTGAAGACAAACAACTTTGAAAGACTTAATAACTATGATCAATGTAGTCACTAACCATGATTCCTGAGGAGTAGTGAGAAAGCGTTTTAAAGATGAGAAAGCCAAGTATCGGAGAATAGAAGTGATTTGCCCAAGGCAGTGCAGTATGGTGAATAGAGACTTGGAGGTAGGAAGAACTAGGCTCAAGTCTTGTCTGTGACAAGAACTTGCACTGTGACCGTGGGTAAATCATTTATTCTCTTAGTATTCAAGTCTAGGAAACTTGCTAAATCTGTCAGTCACTCAATCAGCATTTATTAAGCACTTAGCATATGCTAGGCGCTGTGCTAGTGCTGGAAGTTAGAATGAAGTTGAATTAGATGAGGGATATTCCTTATCCTCATACTAATGAAATAACAGGTTCAGTCCCTATCTGTGTAGATAGTAAGGAGCAGAAGCTGAATTCAAACACAGGTCTTCAGTCTCTAAATCTAGCATTCTTTCCATTAGTCCATGTACCAGGTGGTAAATTACTGCCATGCATCATACTGCATTCATTCATTCATTCATTCATTCATTCATTCATTCATCAAGTGTGTGTTGAATGCCTGCTACGGTCTAAAGCACTATGACAGTTGCTATGGGGCATGTGAAAATGAATAAGAATTCTTCTTCTGAAGCAAATTTTAATCTTATAGGGGAAAAAACTATGAATTTTTAACCCCCCACCCCCCAAAAAACAATATCAGGAAAAGCAAATAAAGTACCACAAAATAGGTGTGAACAAAGGGCTAGGGTGGTCACAGGAGAGTGAGAATTCAAGGAAGGCCTTGTGAGAGAGAAATATTTGCATTGGACTTTAAGGGATGATTAGGATTTTGACAGATTAATATAGGGAGGACAGCATTTCAGGCATGGGGCATGACTGCTGACAAACCTTAGAAAGAAAAAAGAAGGAAATATAAAAGGAGAGGGAAAAAGTCTAGCTTTTCTGGAAAGAACCTTGATCACAGGGAAGTAGTATGGGGAGTAGTAGAGGATGGGATGGTGGTAATGTACAAGAGAGGGAAGGCAGAACTACTGGACTCTTCTTCAATGTATGCTTTCTTTGCAAGGAAGACCAGAAGGCCAAGCAAAAACTAAATGACCATTTGTCAAGCAGCCTGTAGAGGGAATCCCTGTTCAGGTATGGGATGGACACAATTACGTGGCCTTTCAACTCGGAGATTCTGTAGCCTTTGAGCTGGAAAAGACAGAACAAAAGTGACTAACAGGGAGCTTAGCTTCAAAATAAATAGGGAGAAAAGAAATCCCTTGGAAGCTCTGGTGAGACCTAGGTTAACTACATCCTGGTGTACTGAAGTACCTGGTGAATGTAACTGCTGAGCCCACAGCAGGAATCCCTGAAATATATTTGGTTAGGCATTCAAAGCCCTTCATAACCTAATACCTCCTACCTTTCCAAACTTCTTACACCTTGCTCCTTCACATGTACTCTTAGATCAAATGAGACTGCTCTTCTTCCTGTTCCACAAACAATACACTTCACTTCTTGGATCTGGGCATTTTCTCTGACTGTCTCCCATGCCTAGAATGCTCTCCCTCCTCTGCTCTGACTACTAATCTCCCTGACTTCCTTTAAGTCCCAATTAAAATCTCACCTTCCAAAGAAAGCCTTTCCCAACTACTCTTAACTCAAGTGGTTTTCCTCTGTTAATAATTTCCTAGTTATCCCTTATATAGCTTACTTTGTATGTATTTATTTTCATTTTGTCTCTCTCATTAGACTATAAGCTCCCTGAAGGGAGAAATTATCTTTTTCCTCTTTCTGTATCCCCAGTGCTTAGCACAGTGTATTGTACATAGTAGGCACTTAAATAATTTTTTATTGATTGATTGAAATATCATGGGGAATAGAAATGCAGCACGAAGAGTAAATATTGTGTGTGTGTGTGTGTGTGTGTGGTGTGTGTGTGTGTGTGTTTAAGGGAAGAGAGTAATGTCTGTAGACTGTAGACCAGTGAACTTGACTTTGAATCCTAGCAAAAATTATATAATGTATCATTAAAGAGAGGATTAGTGAACATCTAAAAAAGGACATGGTGATCACCAAGAACCAGAATAATTTCATCAAGAACAAGCCATTTCCAACTAACCTTGTTTCCTTTTTGGACATGATTTTTAGCCTGGTAGATTAAGAGAATGCTGATCAAGATAATATCAAGAGAATTTAGGTTACCTGGATTTTAGCAAAGCCTTAAAAATTGTCTCCCTTCTATCTTTGTGGACCTGATGGAGTGTTACAGGCTAAGAAAAAATGCAGTTTAGTGTCTTCAGAAATCACTGAATGCCTGGAACCAAAGGGGAGTCCTATGAGTTTGACATCTGTTTAGAAGTTAGTCTCACATGGGGTACCTTAGGGGTGTATCCTTGACTCAGTGCTTTTAACATGTTTATCATTTACCTTAATAGAAGCATAGAGAACATGCTTATATTAGTTTTGCAGACAGAGATAGTAGGGATAGCTAATACACTGAATTATAAAGTTAGGATCCAAGAGAATTTCATTTGTTTAGAACATGAAGCCAAATATAACATAGTGAAGTTTAAAGGGAATAAGTATAAAATCTCACTTTTTTTTCTTTTATCAACTACAGAAGCATAAAATAGGAGAGTGATGGCCACAAAGACAGCTGTGATTTAGATATGAAAAATAATATGGAGTAGTAGATAGAATTTAATGAAAAGAATATTGAATTTAGAGTTAGTAAGACATGAGTTCAGGTCCTGCTTTTAACACTTACTGTCTGTGTGATCCTGGGCAACTCAGACGTTCCTAGGATTTATTGATTATGTCATAAATGTGCTGAAATCTTCAATGGGGAAGGAGTTCATAGATTAGGGAGTAGGGGAGAGAGTTCCCTATTCTGAGGAAATCACGAATCTTCTGTATGTTTGTGTAAGATATTTAAAAAAAAAAAGCTAATGCCACCTTACGGTGTATTAAAAGATGCATAGTGATCAGGGTGAAGGATGGGTGGGGATAGTCCCATTATAGTTTGCTCTCTGGTTAAAGCATATCAAGAGTACTGTGTTCTATTCTGGGTGACAAATTTTAAAGAGATCAATAAGCTACAGAGAATCCAAAAGAAGACAACTAGCACAGTGAAGGGTTAATAACTTCACTTCTTTACATTGCTCTTCATATGACAAGGACTTATGGTCCTTAACCATACTCGTTACCCTTCTCTAGAAACTATCTAGTTTGGGCCACACATGGCCTCGAGGCCCTGGAGTGAGTCAATATCTATCTTCAACTTCAATTCTATGGAACCCAGAAATGAATGTGATATTCCAGGTGGGGTCTGATACAGTGGGACTGTGACCTTCTTATTTCTGAAATTCATTTACAAGTTGGACTGTAGTTTTCAGAGATCTCTTTGAGCTTTACGATTGTGTGCTTGGGAGGAGGTAGGTGGAAGCGGTAGCAATAGCTTTGGCATGGAGGATCAAAAAATAAAATTGCTGATTGCTCTTGGACCCACACTCCTCCCCCCAGTCCAGCTAAGACAGCTATGGAAGAAATTCTTAGCTCAGAGCTGGGTGCTGCCTCCTTTTTTGTCTTGGGAGGTAGGTTGGGGTAATCTGGAGAGGGAATTCAGTTTAATTCAGTTAATATATGTAAATGTGTCATATATTAACATATACATTAAGCACCTACTGTATGCGAAACAGTTGCATAAAGCCATGTGGCCTGGAAGAGCCTGGGGTGAGTTTTGGTATCAAGAGATTCAAAATCTTTGGCTTCAGGAGACTGTAATATATTACTGACTGGCTGAGCTGATAGAAGAAGGACATGGGGACTCTCGGAAGGATTAGCAATCATTAATATATTTTATCACCTTTTAAAATACCTCAGTGTAGTTCTTAGGCACCAGCTGCCATGTAAAAATCATAATAAAATCTAGTACACTAATTCTGTATGAACAATACTTGTCAATATAAATTCTCTGGATTATGGTCATTTGGTCTCATTCACACGCACACTCTATTTTGCCAACAGGAGCCCTCAAAATAGTGTTCCTCCCTCCAACGTTCTTACCAGAGTGGGAAGACCTACCCAGTAGCTGTCCTGAAATAGAATCTGGATGACAACGTGGTAAGCTGTTGGAGGGAGTGGGATGAATTGTGGGCTTAGAAACAGAGCCCCTACAGCCTAATGCCGACTTTCCAATCACTCCAACTCCTTGGGCCTCTGTGTTCTCATCTGCAGAATGACTGGATGGAACCTAAGGTCCTTTCCAGCCGTACGTCTAGGATTCAGTCAAATACAATGCAACAAGGAATTTTTCAGAACCTACTATGTGCCAGGAAAGATGCTAGATTCTGGGGGTATGAAGAGAAAAAAGTAAACATCTCTTAATCGTTAGGATCTTGTATTTCATTAGTGGAAATATCTTGAGCCTTTTAAAATATGAAGCAACAGGGCTATAGATCTAGAACCTGAAGCATTTGAATGTTTGCAAAGCACTTCACAGGTGTTGTCACATTTTATCTCCACAACAACCTGGAGAAGTAGGTGCTATTACTATTCTGTGTTACTGATAAGGAAACTGAGGCAGACAAAGTTCAGTGACTTTTCCAGGGTCACACAGCCAAGTGTCTGAGGCTGGATTCAAACTCAGGTCTTTCTAGCTCTATTCACTGTGCAACCAGATTGTTTCAGAGGTGACCACAGAGGCGATCTAGTTCAATCCTTTCATTTTCATAAATGAGGAAATAGAGGCCCAAGGAAGTGAAATAACTTGCCCCAAAATCACACAAACATCAATATTAGAGGCAAGCTTTGAACCCAGATCCTTGAACTCTCAAGCCAGTGCTCTTTTTACTGTACTACTCTTGTTCATCACCGATGTTGTTATTTTAATCTTTAAAAGACTTTGTAAACATGGGACAAATCCTTGATGCTCTCCCTCAAAGTAGATTAGCCCCATTTGACATCAGAGAATTTAGGGAGCTTGTCTAATAATGAACAAGGGATAGAGCTTCAACCACCATTCTCCTGATTCCAGGCCTCTTGTCAAGAAGGTGAGAATGCCCAGTATTATTATGTGCATGTTGATCAAGAGATCCCTGTTGGCTGCAACATACTGGTCTCAGGCATTTCATATTTCTTTCTAGTCATAAGAAACCAGAGATTCTTAGATGTGTTCCTGACAAAAGACCCACTATGACTCAGTTCTCTTGGAAAAATAAATAACAATGAAGTGGAATAAAAATAGACTCTCAAACTCAGTCCTGAAACAAACTAAAATTGACGAAATTGAAGATTAAAGAAAGATCCATTTTTGAAGACTTTGTGACATTTTTTTAAAGGCCATACATTCTCAAGGCAAGATGAGTCATAGATAAGGACCACAGTTTTTCATGTCAGTAATTCATGGTTGTCCTTACTCAATGAGCCTCTCACACTTCGGAAGCCCTTTAGAGTAAGATTTTGTTTTTTAACAAGGGATTCAGTTACTCCTTAGACTGATGAAATATATTCTCTTTATGATGGGCTTTCATGTTGGAGGGAAGCTTAGATTTGTTCTTGTTTGCTTCCAAGGGCAGAAATAGAAGTGGTAGGAAGTAACTACCAAGAGAATGATTGCAGCTACATATCTAGAAAACCTTCCTAACATTTAGAACTATGCAGAAATTAAATGGACTGCCTCAGGAGATTGTGGATTCCTCCTCACTAGAGGTCCTCTATCAAAATTAAATGGAGATTCTTAGTTGGTGGGGGATTCCTGTTCAGGTAACAGATTGGAGCACATGGTCTTTGAGAACTCTTCCAACTTGGAGATACTGTGATATTTTCCCCTCTCCCTCCTTCCCTCCAGCCCAGGCGCAAAGATGAGGTCAAAATAAAACTCTCATTTATATGCCCATAAAATCAAAATTTTAGAGCTTAAAGGCATCTTGGAGATTTCTAGTCTGACTCCATCTTTTTATAGATGTGAAAAATGAGGTTGGAAGAAGTTTAGTGACTTGTCCAAGGTTCTGTGGCACGTTATTTGCACAGCTGGAATGAGGATATAGATTTCTTACCTCTCAGTTGAGCATTTCTTCTAGTCCTGGCTCTGCCATTTACTAATTGTGTGACCCTGGACAAGCTGTTGTCCTTCTCTGAGATTCCATTTCCTCAACTATAAAAAGGGAGTGATGACCTCAATTTTAGCTACCTCAGGGGCTGCAGTGAAGATCCAATTAAACAACAGATGAAAAAAATGCCTTGACAATTGTAAGGTGCTACATAATACTGAGTGTTATCATTGGTTGAAAAATGGTAACATTCAACCAGATACATTCAAATAAAAGACTATTTCTCCACTGTGAGTGATAATTTAGGTAGCTGTGCACCTTTTAGGTAGAAGATAAATCACTAAAAATTAAGTAATGTGGGCTTATATTTTTTGTTTGCTTGTTTGGTTAATTTATTTTTCAGTTCAATTTAACCTTTTGTTTACCAGCCCATTTTTATAGCTCTGGATCCCTACGATTCTCTATTTTCCTCTAGAAAGTCTCCTTTCCCAGCTGATTAAAAGTGAACAGGGCTTACTTTCTTCTTTTTTTGCATCTTCTTTCTCCTTTACCTCTCTGGGGTTTGAAAAACCAGTCAAGTGGTACACACAGGCTCAGCTGCCAATCAACTCTGGTTTGTGCTAGGCTGTCTCCATGTAAATGACATTAGGGGACTCCCTAACTGTTTGCATTGGAGACTTATCATGTCATTACTAGGGGCCATATGCTCTTTATAAATGGAAGCTCTTGGTACATCTGAAGTCTTTATTCCCAAGGGTGGGGTGGTAGACAAGCAGTCTTGTTCAGGCATTCTGACAACATCATACATTGAATTGCATTTAAATCAAGAAAAGTCAAGAAGACTTAGAATTACTCAGAGTATTATGTTTGTCATTTTGTATGGGGGGGGGTAAACATATCAGTTCATATTCCCCCTTTTGCTTGACTAAAGATTCAGCTGGAGTAAGATGACAATTCTGTGTTGTTACCACTGGGCAAGGAGGCAGATGGTGATTTGGAGTCTAGATCACAGCAGAAAAAGAAAATATTTGTAAATTTCAGGGAGACCAGAATTCCTCTTCAGATGCTGATGAATGAGAGTACTTGGCGGCAGGACATCAGACCATGCCCGTTTCCTCATGAATCTGAGTTAAAAAACTTTACAAAACACCCCAAGTCAATTCTTTTAAAAATGATTGTATTGGGTGACAGTGGTAAGCAAAGTTCTCTGCCAAGTATTGAGGTACTGTGAAGGAGCTTCATTCTGCCATAAGGATGTAACATGTAAATAGGTAAGTAGAGAGAAGACTAATAATCAGGGGATCAGCAAGGCTTCCTATGAAAGTAGGCATCTGAGCTGCTGCAAGCTAGCAAATCTAAGAGGTGGAGGTGAGGGGTGGGGAATACATTTAGGCTCCAGGAAGAGCCTGACTTGTAGGCTGGGAGACAAGTGTAATGCCAAGTTTAGTGAACAGTTGGTAGGTCTGTTTGGCTGGAATGTAGACTGTGTGAAGAGGAGTCATATAAAATAAATCTGGAAAGTAAGATGATGTATCTCCAAAGATATATCCTAATTAGCTCAGGTTACTTGTTTTCATCCCTATAATGAGTAACTCTGCTTTAGATACTACTCTAGGGGAGTTACATGCCCTAATGAAGGAAGTCTCATCTTAAATTTGTTGGGTCATAGATTGGTATAACATTAAAAACATCGGTAGGATCTCCTTGATTTTTTCAAATGAATTAATGTTTGATCTGTGATTTCATTATTTAAGGAACTCCTAGGGAGGAAATCTCTACAAATGCAGCTCATTGATCTAAGCCCTTCATTTTACAGACAAGGAAACCCAGGCTTAGAAGGCGTTTAGCATAACATTTTGCATATATTGTTATTGTCGTTTGGTTGTTGAGTTGTTTCAGTTGTGTCCTACTGTTTCTGACCCCATATGGAGTTTTCTTGGCAAAAATACAGAAATGGCTTGCCATTTCCCTCTCCAGCCCATTTTACAGGTGAGGAAACTGAGGCAAACAGGGTGAAGTGACTCACCCAGGGTCATACAACTAGTAAGTATCTGTGGCTGGATTTGAACTCATGAAGAGGAGTCTTCCTTCCAAGTCCAGTGTTCTATCCACTGTGTAACCTAGCTGCCCCTTTCCATATGCTAGTCACTTAATAAATATGTGATGCAATGAATTGAACCGGGCTGCTATGTACAGAATTGCCAGGCAGATTCATGAGGGCATGGTGATGGCCTGATGGTACCAAACTCTCTCACTCATCTACATCTGAAGGGGAGGTTGGGGATCCTCAAAATTCACCAACATTTTCTTTTGCCCTTCTCATCTAGGCCCCAAAGCAAAACTGTAATGATCACCAATTCATCCCATCTACCTGTGGTGGTAACAATATAAAATTATCATCATATCAGCAAATAATCCCGGGGCAAACATGCATGCAGTCACAGAGCCAAGACTACAAACCAGGCCTGTCTGGATGCTCCATCTTCACTTTTCCCACTCTACAACACTGTTCCATTTTATAGCTTCTCTCTTTTGAAACTTGATTTTTTGAGCGCGTTCATGCAAAAAGAAAGTGTTTGTGAGTTGGAGGGGAGGCAGGATAGAGAAAAATTGGGGGCCTGGGAAGGAAGAGAAGGATTAAAAAGAGAGTTTTGCTACAATGTAGCCATAGTGATCTAATTCACCATGGGCAGCCTAACTTCAGGGAGTAGTGACTTTAAAGGGCTGCAACTCCTGAAGACAGCTGGCAGTCAGCTGGTGATGCTGCTGGCTTCATGTTGCCTTGGTCTGTCCTATAAACACAACTGATGCTATTTAGATGTTTTTAAAAAAAAGGCTTGCACAGGAAATTTTTCCTCAATGCATGTAAAAGCTGTTCGATTCCCCAAAGAAAGAGACTTGGCAAGTTGGTTAGGAGGGAAGTAGAAAGCACTGGAGCACATGAGCAAATTTTAACAATGTGCAAGTGTAACTTTTATTGCCAGAAGCAGATATGCATTGGAATTTGAAGAGGGGCCTAAGTGCTAAATGCAGTTGTTTTTATCTTCGAAGAATGCCGTGGTTTCACTTCAA